TAAAGGTCTTAATAATTTTCTTACCCTTTAACCCAGCAGCAATTTCATCTCCAGAAATTATTCGTAAGGACATAATTGGGGATACACACAAAGATTAATGTACAGGTTTTATTTGTAAAACAACATAAAACTTTCCAAATATTTAACAATAGAGGACAGTTTAACTAATTTTATAATATTCATTCCATCATTAAAAACAATGCAATATGATATCTTTTTATAATGCCTGAAAAAAGTAAAACTCAAAGATACACTAGACAGACACATATGAAAACACTAAAGAAGAGAAATAAATGAATGACAATACATAAATTTGAGGACAGTAGTTATCTGTGAGAGGGAAGGGCAGAGGAGATCATAGGTAACTTCAATGGTATTGTAAAGGTCTAGTTCTCAATTTGGACAGTCGGTACACAGGTGTTTGTTTTATTACTGGGCTTCACAATTGTAACCCACTGCCCTGGAGTACATTCTGATTCATAGTAACCTACAGAACAGAGTAACTGCCCTATAGAATTTTTTAGGCTGTAATATTCACAGAAACAGACTGCCACATCTTTTTCCCACAAAGTGGCTGGTGGGTTCAGACTATTGACCTCTGCTTAGCAGGTGGGCCTAACCACTGTGCCACCAGGGCTCTTTCATAATTATATATGTATCAAAAATTGAGTATTAAAATGTAAATTCACATTCTCAAAAAATATTTAATGATCTGCAAAAATGCATGCTAACAACATGTAAAGTTGAAAACACTGTTCCCAAAAAGAATAGTCACGGAACAAAATGTCATGGAAACTGATTTAAAACAAAGTGATTTAAAACAAATCCCTGCTTAATGACTATTCTTTTTGGTGGTTCAAACCCACCAGCCACTACTAGGAAGAAAGGTTCGGCAATCTACTTATGTAGGAATACTGCCTCAGAAACCCAAGGAGGGGTCGCTATGAGTCTGATCTGACTCCACGGTAGTGAGGTGTTTTTTTTTTTTTTTTTTTTGACAAAATGTTAGTTTGTTCTGCCTAATCTTGTTGCCCTTCCCCTAATTCTGTTATGAGTAATTACCATTGAAATTTTAATTCAGTGTTCTGTTTTGTAGTTTTATTTTAGTGAAAATAAAAT